GGTCAGGGATGATGCTGGTGAGGCTGAACCTTAAGGTGGCAGCCATGGGGAGAAGCAGGAGAAGGGAATCCTGGCAGGGGGAACAGCAAGGCAAAGGCTCTCAGGCAGGAAAGGTTGGGACACATTTGAAAAGTAGAAAAGACACCATGTGCTGGAATAGAGTAAGTGAAGAGCAAGTGGGACAAGACAAAGTCAAAAGAGGACAGAGGCTGCATCACACAGGGCCCTGGGACCATTTTGTTTATAGTCTGCCCTTTATATTTGACTCTTCTTTTGTGCCAGGCAGTGTGCTAAGATCTTGAAGTACAGCACCCATTTCCTTTTCAACATCCCAGCAACTGTGGGAGATAGGTCTTATAATCCCTATTTTTTACATAAGGAACCAAGGCTTAAGAAAAGTAGCTTGCCCAAGGCCATCCACCTTGCAAGTGAGTGATATCACCAGGATTTGAACCTATGTCTCTTTCACTCCAAACTTGTATTCTCAACTCCTGACTCATGACCTTGCCTCTAAGCACTAGTGTTTAAATTAACAACTACTTCACAGCATGATACATGCACCCTTAGGATTGTGAATACAGTGCTGAAGAAATGGCAAAATCCACCTGGGGGAGTCTGGAAAGGAGCACATGGGCTAAACTTAAGATACGTTCATATGAAATTTTCCCACAGGCAGGCATTCTCAAGGGTATGTGCAAAGACTCCAAGATGAGAATTAATCATCATAGCAGCTAACGTTTATTGAGTGCTCATCCTGTGTCAGGTTCTGCAATGGGTATTTTACTTATCCTGGTTAATCCTTACAACAATCCTGCAAAGTCAGTGTTGGCCCCACTTTACAGATGAAAAAACTGAGGTTTGGAGAGGTTTATCATTTGCACAGTGAGACACAGCTAGTAAGTTGACTTAATAAACGCTGTGTCTAAATACTGAGAGAAAAGTAGTAAATGTGGATTTCCAGGTGGCAACATGCAGATTTGAACATAGTTCTGCTAGAATCTATGCCCTAACTCTCCTGCTGAGAGCTTGGTGTGACGAAGGAAGTGTGAGATGTTTTGTGTGACTTCATGATGCGTGTTCTCTGAACTTGACTGAAATTAATATTCCTAAAAATTCTTTCTCTTTAGAGAGTTTTATATTCTGTATTTCTCTCCTCTGAAACTCTGAAACATAATTTTGTGCACCCTTTTCTATGCTTTTTCTTTCTACCTACACTACAAGATCCCTGAGGGCAAGCCTGTGGAGTATACATAAAGCAAATGTATTTCACCGGGCCTGGTTTTCCAAAGCCTTGCAGTTTCAAATATTAACCTTGCAAAAGACAAGAAAATTTCCCCAGGCTGTAGTCTCTGGTTGTAAGATAAAGAATTGTAACACAGCGATGTTGCTGGCTCAAAGACAGACAAGTTACTGGTTGATATGTAAAGATACTGGGAAATTGCTATAAGAATAGAATATTTGCTAAGATCAAGCTTTTATTGGTGGATCAACTTAACTTCTTGAAAATTGCATTATGAAATGTCACCTTGCTTGTCTTACTGAATGTTACCAGCTTCTATTGTTAAACTTGTTAAACTATTCTTAGCAAAAACCCCACCCATGTTCTCTTCCTGGTCTGGAGAATAAATGCAGGAAGAGAACACCAATTCAGAGTTAATTTCCCAAATGGAAGGAATGCCTCTATCTTGAGGGTTCCAGATTAACCCCTTTTAGGGGCTTTTTGCTGCTCAGAAGAGATGGGCTTTGAGTAATCTTTGGCGGCTCTGTCACCCAGGGGAAAAGGGGTGACAAATCCATGGGGGGGCAAAGCAACACAAGCCCTCATTTCTTTGGATTCCCCAGTGCCTAGCCCTGGACAGTGAGATCAGGGTTGAGTGTGTGGTGTTGACCAATGAACCTTCAGGGCATGGTGCAGGCCTGGGTATACAGAGGGTGCTCTGTAAATATTTCTTGAATAAATGAGCACTATGCTTACTTAATGAAGGGTTAGATACATAATGGATTTGGCCTGCATCAGTAATCAATCTTGATCATTTGAATGGTGTACACATAATTTTATTTCAATTACTTAAGCATTTAAGACAAAAGCAAGGTTTTTTGGTCTCCCCTTCCCCTCCTGCCCCGTCACTCTACCCCACCCCCCAAATCACTGGTATTGACTCAGTCTTAGAAGGAATTTTGAGCAAGAAATTCTGTGAAATTCCTCGGTTGGTATTATACTATAAGGGTTTGTGACTTAAGCCTGTTAAGACTGGCTTCTTTAAAAGAAATTCATATTCTGGTGTCATTTTTATGAACAAATCAACTGCTGCCTAATAGTTCAAATGGTTTCAAGTACACATAAAATAACTATGATCTTTTCTTCAAATCCACTTGCACCAATATTCCTGGGACAAAACAGGAAAGCTCAAGTGACTTGGAAGTGAGTTTGTTCCATGGTCTAGTCTTGCATGGTTCAGTGCTATAGCCACTAGGCACGTGTGGCTATTGAACAATTGCAGTGTGGTTACTTTGAATTGAGGTGTGTTGTAAGGGTAAAATACACCAGATTCCAAAGATACAGCACTAAAAAAATGTAAAATATCTTAATAATTTCTATAATGATCGCATGTTGAAATGATAGTATTTTTGACATATTGGGTTTAATTATATTAACATTTATTTCACCTATTTCTTTTTATTTGTAAATGTAGCTATTAGAAAATTTAAAATTACAGGTCTGGGGAGCAGAAGTGCCCGGCCCAAGGAAGACAAAGTAAGTGTTTCCGGTCTACAAATGGCGGCGGGTCTCACATGTGGTTAACATTACACATGTGGTTAACATTGAACAGTGGTGTTCTAGAAGGTAACAAATATGAGTCCGATAAATACCTAACCCCTTTTTATCTGTCCCTAACTCCACTATTCCCCACTTTTCCCAAAGTTACAAAAATTAATTAAAGCACCCCAGTGGCTATGTTGGTCCATTCTCAACACTTTTTTTTGTTTCCTGATTGAGTCAAAATTCATGCTGGGCTTGAGTCTCCTACAGCTTTAAACTATTTTCCACTTGTGTTGACTGTAATGGTAAAAGCACTTTAAATTTATGTAGAAACTCAGAATTAAAAAAATTCATGTTGGGCCGGCCCGGTGGTGCACTGCTACAGTGTGCCGCTTGGGAAGCGCAGCGGCGCTCCCGCCGAGGGTTCGGATCCCACATACAGACCGGCCGCTCACTGGCTGAGCGAGGTGCGGGAGCAACACCGAGGGTTGCAATCCCGTAGCTGGTCCCGGTCCGGTACGGGCGTGACACTGAGGGTTGCGGTCCGTTGCCGTTCACGAAAAAAGACTAAAAGACAAAAAAAAAAAAATTCATGTTATGTCATTGAATAATTATAACTCTCCTGAGTCAGGTCCGTTGCCGTTCACGAAAAAAGACAAAAAGACAAAAAAAAAAAAATTCATGTTATGTCATTGAATAATTATAACTCTCCTGAGTCAGTGCGTAATTTGAATTATCATTTTCTGAGTGAAAAAACTGAAAACAAAATAAAATATATTTATTTTATTAAATATTTTTTTAATTTAATAAAATATTTTATTTATTTAAACCCAGTCCTATTTTAAATAAATATTTTAAATATTTATTTTATTATTTTAAGAGCTAAAGGCTTTTAGCTCTCTGGTCAATTCCAAATATAAGTGGCTTTTCCAAGATGCCATAGTGGCCAAAAGAACTGGTACTGGAATGATCTTACTCTTCCTACTAGAACAGTCATTCTTCAGATACAGTATCTCATTGTCAATTATGAAGTGTAACTTTTTACAAAGAGTTTATTAACTTTTTAAAAGTTAAAACTTTTTAACTTTTAAAATTTTAGCAAAGTTTTTGCTGACTTTTTAATATAAATTAGAACCAATGAAAGGATAGCTGAAAATAATATATCTTTCCTACACTTCATTCACTCACTAACAAGCACTTACTGAATACCTGTCATGCATAAGGTATGAAGACAGGCCCTGGGGAAACACCAAAGAACAATACAGCGAGAAAAGATGGATCATCTAACATGTAATCATAACTAACAAGTACTTGAAACAGACGGTGTGCTGTGGAATCACACAGCAGGAAGACCTACCCTAGGCTAGGGTTAGGAAGGGCTTCATAAGCTAGTGCTACTTGTGTTGAGACTGAAGGACCATGGGACATGGCCAGATAAGGGGTGGAGGAAGAATAGGTAGGAAACTTTTAGATATGCTTTCCTAAGAGGGGAAGGAAGCTGGGATTGATAAGGCAGGGAATTGTACATAACCTACTGCCCAAATTATTGATGCCACATCCTGGAAGTGTATCCTGTACCTAAACATCATATGTCATGTGGGCATAGATATAACAACAGGTATAAAATTTGAGAACCTCTGTGTATTGCCATACCGCACTTACTTAGCAAGGTATATCAGACCACCTGAGGGGCCTGTGCAGTGGTGTGTTTGCTATGAAATGTTTAACAATCATCTTTTAAACACACACACACACACACACACACACACACACACACACACACACACACCCTATTTTGTAGCATTTGCAAGTTTCTGTGATGTAAATATCCCCACTTTGATTAATATCAAGCTGTCAGTGAGACGTCACTGAATGTGTTGTTGGTAGCACCCCATTATACATGATTTCCATCACACAAATACCGTAGCTATAAGAAACCTTGAAAGCACAGATAAAAGTAAAATGTGGTAAAATAATCAGTAAGTGATGAGTTTTGAGTGTTACAAATGTATTATCTTTGTTTTTAATATGATTTAACTGTCATTTATATTATTTTTGAATAATGGCTGTGTTTCACACTGGCTCACAAAAGTTCCTGCAGATTTACCCATCAGCTCTTACACACCTGTACAAGCTGGTGGCAGCACACCCATGGGCCTGGCATCATCAGCATAAAGTAACCTGGCTCATGGTCTAGACCAAGTCCTCACTTCCCACCCTCTTCCTCTGTTTCTTACAGATCAGTAAACAGCAGCTGCAGACAGTCAAGGACCGGTTTCAGGCCTTTCTCAATGGGGAAACCCAGATCGTGGCTGACGAAGCCTTCATGAATGCCGTCCAGAGTTACTATGAGGTAAGAGTCAGCACACAGGAGGTGCCAAGCCTGCCCAGGGATTTGGAGCTACCAGTCAGTGGGAATGGTAGCCTTGGCCTTTTGCAGGATCTCATAAGGCCAAGGGCTTGGTGATTGGTTACAAGTTAAGGAATAACAGCATTGTTTTGTTTTGTTTTTTGTAAATAGAAGCTACTATTAACCAACTGATTTTTATACGAGGCAATGTGCTGAGTGTTTTCCATACAATTTACAAGTCTTATGAGTTAGGTCCTGGTAGTATTCCCATTTTACTGATGAAGAGACAGAGAGGTTAAGTAGATGACTCAAGGTCACAGCTGTTAAAATGTCACAAGCTAAAACTTTAATAGTCGGGAGCATTCTCCCACCACTTATATCATTTCTGAAAGATGATAGCACCTCCCAAGGATGGTGACTTCACTAATTTCCTTGTTCTTTCTATTAAAATGTTGCCATGGGGTTTTTTTCTGGAGGTTAGGACACTGTCCAAAATGCAGTACTCTTCTCCAGAGAAAACTACAGAAGAGAAAACACACTAGTTCCCACTTATTCACAGTATTGCTGTCCATGGTTTCAGTTATCCACAGCCAACTACAGTGTGAAAATAGGTCAGCACAGTACAATAAGACATTTTGAGAGAAAGACCACATTCACATGACTTTTATTACAGTATATTGGTATAATAGTTCTATTTATTAGTGGTTATTATTGTTCATCTCTTACCATGCCTAACTTATAATGTTTATCATAGGTATGTATATATACGAAAAAATATAAGATATATAGGGTTCAGTATTACCCATGGTTTCAGGCATCCACTGGAGTCATTCAAACATATCCCGCCATATCAGAAGTCATGTTTTAAAAGTCAACTGCATTTTTTTTTGTTTGTTTTGCTAATGCTTTTTTAAAATTTTAATTTAATTTTATTTTTTATCATTATACAATGTAATTGATTTTTCATGGCCCTTTACCAGTTTTCATGGCCCCCTTTCCCAACCCTGGCAATCTTGGTTCTGTTCACTTCTCTTAACAAGTTCAAAGAATTATTGTAGTAGTTGTGTCTTTATTTTTTTTCTTCTTCTACTTATTTGTTTATTTATTTATTTTTATTAGCTCCCACATATAACTGAGAACATGTAATATTTCTCTTTCTGTGCCTGGCTTATTTCACTTAACATAATTTTCTCTAAGTTCATCCATGTTGCTGCAAATGGCAGAATTTCATTCTTTTTTATGGCAGTGTAGTATTCCATTGTGTAGATATACCACATTTTCCTTATCCACTTATCCAATGATGGGCATTTAGGCTGGTTCCAACTCTTGGTTATTATAAATAGAGCTGCAATAAACATGGGAGTACAGGTATCCCTTCAACATGATGATTTGGGGAGGTATATACCCAGCAGTGGAATTGCTGGTTCATAAGGCAGTTAGTTCTATCTGTAGTTGTTTGAGGAGTCTCCATACCATTTTCCATAGTGGCTGCACTAGAATTAAACTTCATTTTTATATTAGTCCAAATTTAAATTTGTTTTTAATTTTACAAGTAGCATCCATTATTACCAATGAATGTCAAACTTACTGCTTTTATCTGATGTGATGCAATTTTTCAGTTGGTTTTCATGGGGAGTAGAAATGAGATTTGGAATCACAATGATGTATGTCCAAAGTATATATCATGGGTAAATTTTCACCACCAGATCTCAGAATTTTATTTATCAGTAGAACAAATTTGCAATTCCACAAGTATGTTTAATTTTTTTTAGTATTCTTTCTCCATGTTTCCATTGTCTGTTGTTTATGTATCATTAATGAAGTGGACATGCCATAACTTCCTATTGGCAATGTTTTCCTGACATGAATATTTTCAAAAGGGAAAATAGACATTTTACTTGAAAGACATTTTACTTTATATTAACCTATTTTAACATGAACAAGTAAATATTCTCTGCATTTAGAATTTTATTCCCCAAATGTCTTATCTATTGTCAAGGCTAGATTAAAACCATTAGAAACCAACTCCTAAGCACTGAAAGCTTATGGCATCCTGCCACATGCAATTGAAAGTAATAATGATAAACTGTAAAATAAGTGCAAGGAAATCCAACAAAATCGAATTTTTCCCCATGAGATTACTTCACTGATGTTCTTCCTTCCTTCCTTCCTTTTTTCTTTAATTATTAGATGGCAAATTATTTCAAAACAAAAATGTTGATACTCCTGCTTTGCTGGGGCTCTCAGCACACACTTGGTTTGCCCATTGAACAACCCAGCGCACAATAGATGCTTTCATTATGTTCATTGATTAAAGCATTGGGGGAGAAATCCTGATTCGTAAAACTCCCTTTCCCACTTGCTAATGTACTTGACTCCTTTTTTCATGGAAAGAGTGGAGCAAGATTGCAATTAGATCTGGTGAAAATATTATTGATTGGTTTGCTAATTAGTGTTTTAATAGTAAACAGCCCTTTTCTCTGTGATGTTTGTGAGGTCCAACCACAGACTCATCTGACATACCATTTCCTCAATGAAATTTCTGTTTGGATCTGTTTTAGACATTGAGTTTATTTTTATATTTGTCCAAATTTAAATTTTTTTTTAATTGTATAAGTAGCATCCATTATTGCCAATAAGCATTAAACTTGCTGTTTTTATCTGACATGATACAATTTTTGAGTTGAATATCATGGGGAGTGGAATTGAGATTTGGAATTGCAATGATGTACGGCAGTGAGTAACTTGAATATATTTAACAAAGATTTTAATTTAAAAACTGTCTGGTGATGAAATTAACTACTTTTTCTCAAGTTCTGAAAGCCAGTGGGAGAGTAATGAGAAAACCCTTGCCAGACCCGGCAGACCCTTATCAATAGTTCTCCATGTTCAGAGTAATTCACTAGAGTTTATAAATTTGTAGATTGCAGTTCTTAATTAGAAAGCTCATTTGATTAATGACATAAATTAAAAGAAAGTGCCATTTCTATCTATTAATTAAATTTGAAAATTAATAGTCATCAACATGCTAATGAGTCTCTGGAAATTACTATTATATCTATAGTCATCCCAGTATTTTCCTCTAGAGGGGCTAGTTTATTTGAAAGAGCTTCTTTTTAGTCTGGTGAGAATATAGGCATTGAGAAATTACTGAATGTTTAATGTGAGGGTTTGAGTAACATAGGAAAGAATGTGGGGAGTTAATGATCTAGCTAGCTGCTGTCTTCATTAGAAAAGCTTTAGGGAGTCTTAGATTCACTTTTCTCAGAAACTGATCTTTTCAAGTGAAGGTCCTCAATCAAGGGATCAGGATTAACACTTTACTTGGGAGAGCTCTGAGTTGATTACACCTCCCTTTCTCTCTCTCTTCTCTCTTGGGCTGTGGAGAAGCTAATGTCCCTTCCTCCACCCTGCTCAGGGATCCAATTACTTTCCTGTCAACATCTGTCTTGGTCAGGACTCTTTGGATTACAAGTGACAGACACTGAGTTCAAACTGGTCTCAGCCTCAGAAGAGATGTATTTGCTCAAGTGACTTTAAAGTTCAGGAGTTGGCCTGGCTTCAGCCATGGCTGGGTCCAGAGACTCCAAAGATGCCCTTGTACCTCTGCTGTACTTCTCCCTGTGTTGGCTTCATTCTTGGGTGGGTACTCGCCATGTGGAGGACCCTAGTAGCCAAGTTTAGCAACCCAGGAACAAAGAGAATACCGCTTTGCTGAGGGTCCCAAGGGTGACTTGGTTGGACTGACATGGGTCCTATGTCTCTTCTTGAACCAATCACAGTAGATGAGGGGTGAATAGATAGGGGGATAAGGCCTAGGACAGATACCATCTCTGCAGCCTGAGTACAGGCTCAGCCCGACTCTGGAGCTATTTGCGGTGAAAGGGAAATGGTTTCCCAATAAGAAATTAGGGTGTTTTTTACCAGAAGTGGGGGGGTGTATGTTCAGCAGACAATATCAGCAAAGATCCTTCTTCCAAATTCTCTCTCTCTCTCTCTCTCTCTGTCTCTCTCTCTCTCTCTCTCTCTCACACACACACACACACACACACACACACACACACACACACACACACACACACACACCCCACCATACCAAACCCTCACATCTCAATTTAACAGTAACAATGACATTAAAAAATTGATAGTCTATTAAAAATAACAGCTAACTTCTATTACTTTCTTACACTGCACTAGGCAACATGCTAACCAGTTGGCATGCATTATCTCATTGAATCCCGACCAAAATCCTACCAGGTAAGGTTATTAGGTTCCCCATCTTAGAGATGAGTAAGCTAAAGCCCAGGAAGATCAAGTGACATGCTCAGGTGACAAACTTGGCAAGCAGTAGAGCCACAGTTTGAACCCAGGTGGTCTGACCAGAGCCCGTGCTCCTACACACAATGTCTACTTCCATTATTTATGTGCCATTCATAAACAGAAACCAGGTTTGCTTATGGCTTTTTTTTTTTATCTTACTTACTCTAATATCTAGGGTTTTTTCCTTATGTATGTTGAAATAATGTTTTT